TTGGTGGAGAGCAGGGTTCTACTAAGCTTAGGGACACTTTCATAGAGTTTTACCTGGTAACACAGGTCAGACACAAGAGTTCAAGCAAATGGACATTAAGAAGACTAAGACAGCCCAAGATAATTTTGGCTCTTGACCTGCAACATTCCATCTCTCCACAATCATGATGTTCTACTAAGCCAAGATCAAATGGTCTGCAGGATCTTTAATATAGATGTGGCTTCTTCAGAGAACTTCAGCCCCACACATTTATATACTCAGTTATGTCCAATCTCAGGCAGGAAGGAGTACAACTCTACATTTGGAATAAATGCCATTTTATTTTCTAAAGAGTGATTACTCTCTGCTTCGTTTCTCTATGGACTCAGACAGGTAACTGTCCACAGAAGGATCTGAAAGCTTTCCAGTTCTGGGGGTCTCTGAGGAGGCCTGTTCCCATGGCTCCATTAGGCATTGCCCTAGTAGGGGCTCTCTGACAAGTCTCTGTCTGGGCCCTCAGGCTGCCTAATACATCTTTTGAAATCCAGGGAGAAGCCATGATGGCCACATGGCTGTGTTCTCTGCATATCTGCAGAGCCAGCACAATATGGATGCCCCTGAAGCCTACTGCTGTGTCCTCCAGGGCTGAAGCTGCACATGAGCTGCACCTGGACCCACCAGAGCCATGTCTGGGGTGGCTGAGGTGTGCTTCATCTGGATGTGGAAACAGTGGCCCAACATGGATGGCTCTGGACAGCTGAGGTCATACAGACACCCCTCTGGAAAACTTGCCCTCAAAGTCCCAGCTAGCCTCCAAGATCTCTGAAATGCCTTCAGGGTCACTGTCCCAGTGTCTTGATCAATAGAACCTGGCTGCCTTCAGATTCATATTAATCTCTTTAGCAAAGGGTCATTTGGCCACAACCTTAGTATTTTCTCCTGTACATGCCTTTTCATTCTATACAGGGACAGACTGCACATTTCCAAAAGTTTCTGCTCTGCTTCTTTTTTAATTACAAATTCTGTCTTTAAATTATTTCTCTCCTTTCGGTTTACTGCAAGCACCACAAGAAGCCATGCAGCACCTTGAATGCTTTGCTGTTTAGATAATTCTTCTGTCAGATATCCTAGCTCACTGCTTTTCAACTATGCATTCCATAACCCCTGAGGACACAATTCCACTGAATTCTCTGCACCAGCATAACAAGAATAGCCTTTACACCAGTTGCTAACACCGTGCTCCTTGCTTTCCTCTGAGACCTCATCAGAATGACCTTTACCATCCATATTTCTACCAGCATTTTCATCAAAACTACTTAAAGTTATCTCTACGAAATTCTACGGGTTAGGGATGTGGCTCAACCGGTAGCACGCTCGCCGGGCATGTGCGGGGCGCTGGGTTCAATCCTCAACACCACATAAAAATAAAGATATTGTGTCCACCTAAAACATTAAAAATAAGTATTTAAAAAAAAAAAAGAAGTTGTGGGCTGGGGATATGGCTCAAGTAGTAGCGCGCTTGCCTGGCATGCGTGAGGCACTGGGTTCAATCCTCAGCACCGCATAAAAATTAAATAAAGATACTGTGTCCACCTAAAGCTAAAAAATAAATATTTTTTTTTAAAAAAGAGATTAAAAAAAAAAAAGAAGTTCTATACTTTCCCTTTCTTTTCTTCTGAGCTCACTGGAATCATCCTTAATACTCCATTCACTGCAACCTTGGCTTTTTCTAGCCTTTTCTTCCAAATTCTACCAGCCTATGCCAATTACCCAGTTCCAAAGCAATTTCCACACTTTCAGGTAATTGTTATAGTAACAGTCCCACTTCTCATTATTTATTTTTTTGTCTTAGTCTGTTTGGTGCTGCTATAAAAGAATACCACAGATTGGACAATTTATAAAGAAATGATATTTATTTCATACAGTTCTAGAGGCTAAGAAGTCCAAGATTGATGGGCCACATCTGGTTAGCACCTTCTTATTGCATTAAAACATGGCGGAAGGCATCGCCTGGCCAGCAAAAATGAGAGATCAAACTCACAGCCTCAAGTTCTTTTATAATTGACCTTAACTCATTCATAAGAGTGGAGCCCTCACCACCTACCTATATGTCTCCCCCACTTTTCAACACTGTCACATTAAGGATTAAGCTTCCAACACATGCTTTTGGGGAGGCACCCAAACCAGAACAACCACTTATTTGAGCATTTAGTTTTATATAATTGACCACTTTTTTCCCCCTAGTACTAGGAGTTGAACCCAAGGGCACTCTACCACTAAGCTGCATTCCCAGACCCTTTAATATTTTTTTAATATTTATTTTTTTGTTCTAGGTGGACCCAATACCTTTACTTTATTTTTATGTGGTGCTGAGGATGGAACCCAGTGCCTCGCGGGTGCTAGGCAAGCGCTCTCCCACTGAGCCACAACCCTACTCCCTCCCCTTTACTATTTATTTTGAGACAGGGAGGGTCTTTCTAAGTTGCTGAAGCTGGCCTTGAACTAGCGATCCTCCTTCTTTAGCCTCCTGAGTCACTGGGATTATAAACCTAATGAAATGACCACTTTCTGATGTCAAGGATGGCTGGTTCCTTTAGTTGGTAAAATATAACAACAGTATTCCCAACTGTCTTATCTAAGTGGTGAGGAAGGCATTAAATAAAAATACCTAAGAAGAAGAGAAAGACCCCAGGTATAGAAAATCATTTCTTCAGTAGAAATACTGAAGAATTTCTCCCCTCCACACCTCCCCACCTCAATTTCTTTTAAAAAGTCAGGACTTACCAGCAAATTATCTGGGAGTAAAGAGGGAGGGAGACATTTCAATGTAAAATTCAGAACTGCTGTATAGAAAGGCAAGTATGGGGAGGCTTGTTATCATTTATTTCCTCCAGTATATCATTCAATTTCAGCTGTCTCATGTCTCAGAAACAGCTCCCCATTTCTCACTTATGTACCTAAGAAACATCTCTCTGGCATCTCATTCTCTCTCTCTGTCTTTCAACAGCATTTCATTATTTCTTAACTGTCCCTCTTATGCTCATCTCCCTTTTTCCTAGTGATCCACGTGTCCTCATTTAGCAGTTTTCAGAAGCTAGGGAGAAACGTTGCAAATAATGTTAAATATGATTAATATCTTGAATTCCTTGAAATATGACATGCATGAGTTACAATGAAACCTCTTTTATTTCCCCATGAAATGCTTTTGCATAATGAGAAAGAAAATGTCCTCTATGCCCTAATCAGCCCTGACAGTTCCTGGACTCCCAAATACTTTTATTTATGGCATTATTTATTTCATCTCTAATAAATGGGGGGGGGGCAGCACCATCTGAGGAGCCTGCAGCAGAGAAGGAAACACTCTAGGGTGGAGGAATAAAAAAAACTGAACTGGCAAAGAGGAGAGAGGCTTCAAAAGGAAGGCAGTTCTGGAAAATAGGAAGCCAAAATAGTTAGGGGTCCCCGCCCTAACTACTGGACCCCAGAAGAAGAAAATGGGTCACTTCCCCAAGATTATAAAGACAGCTCTGAAAAGGAAACTAACTTCAGAGTGGAGAGATGGGGGTCATACATTAAGGTGCATGAGGAACTCTGCCCAGGATAATGAAGACTAAAGGCTGGAAACCATACTTGGGGTGGGGGTTCTGATGCTGTCCATGAAAAAAACAATGAACTGAGATAGGAAAGTAGTCTGCTCCAAAGAGTGCCTTGGAGAAACCAAGTCCATTCTCAATATTTAAGACATCTGTTGTCCATGGGGATTCCTCTTCAAATTATTGAGATCTCCTGTCATTCTAACAACTACTGAAATTGGGTGATCTCCAGAACCCTGGCTCTATGGCACCAGTTGCTGTGACCAGTCAACTAACTGGACAATTCTGGGAGTGAGATTCCTCAGGCCACCTTGGTCCTGTAAATATAAATATAAATAAAAATATATGTATACACACATATATGTACATACAACGTTGTTAAAAATACTCATGGTCCCAAAAGGAATTGTCAGCCACTCTCCCCCCCTTTTAACTGCACAATTTACTTGCTGTAATAGTTAAGGGCTGGAATTAAAATGACTTGTATACATCCCTGCAACTAAGTCATACACTCCTCAGTTGAGTTTCTGACTGGGGTGTTCCTTTCAACCTCAGTATTCTCATCTGTAGAATGGGAGTAAATTGTGGCGTTAGGTACTCTTCTTGGGCTCCACAGGGTACAAATGAAATAATGTGAAAGCACCTCGCCCTGTGGACTTCTATGATCAACTGAAGTTCAGAGGCCAACAGCCTGGTGCAAGCAGGACCCTGTGGCCGCACAAACCGCGACCTGAGCCAAGACTATCAAGATGTTCTTTTCGGAAGGTTGGGGGAGGAATTTCAGTTCGTAGGAACTCGATGTACTCTACACACGCACTCTGGCGACCCCGCCCTAACTACTAGGTACCACCCCCTCAGTGCAACTCCGAGAGTTGGAGGTCACGCAGGGGGGCGCCAGGAGCTCATTACGGAAGCGAGACCCGGGCCGGCAGCAGCAGACGCCTCGGGTCCACATCTGGAGCTCCAAAGTCTCACCCTGGCCAGGACCCGGGTCCCCACCTTTTTCACCTGCGACCGGGACACTCCCCAGGTCTTCGCTCCCCCCTTCCCTTCCCCCTCCCCCCTTTCCCCGGTCTTAGGCGCCGACCGCGCGGGCAGACCCGCGGCGGCGGCGGCGCCAGGCCCCGCCCCCGCCCCCATTATCATTAGCAGATATTACCCTAAACACTTGCTCTTTACCTCCTTTCTCCCTCCAGGCATTGGCGAGGCGGCCTGTCAATCAGCGCTCGGGCGGCAGCCCCCCGCGCGGGGGCTCGGAGATGCCAGCCTCAGCGACAGGCGGCGGCGGCGGCGGCCACGGCACAGACACACACCCTCCCACACGCGCGCACAGGGGCAGAGCCGGCTGGCTGGCGGCGGAGGCACCCTCGGAGCCCGGCGCCGGGCAGGGAGGGGACGTGCGACGGGAGACCGGCCCTGAGGCGCGGAATGGAGGAGGAGATGCAGCCGGCGGAGGAGGGGCCCAGCGTCCCCAAAATCTACAAGCAGCGCAGCCCCTACAGCGTCCTCAAGACGTTCCCCAGCAAGAGACCGGCGCTGGCCAAGCGCTACGACAGACCCACCCTGGTGGAGCTGCCGCACGTGCGGCCGCCCCCGCCGCCCCCGCCGCCCTTCGCGCCGCACGCCGCCGTCTCCATCAGCAGCAGCGAGCCGCCGCCGCAGCAGCAGTTCCAGGCGCAGAGTTCCTACCCCCCCGGGCCCGGCCGGGCCGCCGCCGCCGCCGCCTCGTCGTCGTCGCCGTCCTGCACGCCCGCCGCGTCCCAGGGCCACCTGAGGACTCCGGCCCCGCCCGCGGCCCCCGCCGCCTCGTCGTCGTCGTCCTTCGCCGCCGTCGTCAGGTACGGCCCCGGCCCGGCAGCGGCCGCGGGCAGCAGCAGCGCGGGTAGCGACGGCGCCAGCCTGGAGCTCAGCGCAGGTACCAACTCTTGGGCGCAACTTTCCTTCCCGCCACGGTCGTGGGAGGGGAGGCACCCGGGCAGGAGAAGCTGGGGACCGCCGACACTCTCCCGCGCGCCCCAGTGTGTGTGACTGGGGAGGCCGGGGAGCGTCCGAACGCTCCCTGGAGGCCTCCCTTGCGCCCCACTCTTGGGCAGCAACTTCTGGAAGATTCTCCGGCGCCGCCGCGTCCCGGGTTTACGACGGCGCGCGCACTTAACAGGTGGCTTGGCGGCTCCGTTGCTCGGTCGGGGACAGGGGTGGGAGCCAGATGTCGTAGGGTAACAGGAGCAACTGCTTGGGGACAGCCTGGGGCTGCTCGGGTGGCTCCGCTGAGGCTCCCTTTCTTTACCCTCCGCTTCTTCACTTTATCCTTCCACTTCTTCCCTTTTCACTTCCTCCCGCCTCCATTTGTTTTTTCTAATTTTTTTTTTCCCTCGCCTTTTCTCCCTCTCTTTGGTGCAGTCTGCCCCTGTCGCGGTCCCCTTCGGCTATTTCTCGTGCTCGGTGTTTCTTTTTTTCTTCTTTTTTTTTTCCCCTGTGCGCTTGTGCTTCTGCGCGCGCTGTCTCTGCGAGCCCTTCCCTGTCCACCCCATCGTCCCAGCCGTGGCTGTGAGACACCTGATTCCTCCGCTCCAGCCTCGCGGTGGTCCTGGAGTTCGACCTTCCAGTGGATTCAGGTGTTTGGGCGCCCGGGGGGTGTTCTCGCTCTTCTCCCCAGCTCCGGGCACGCCGGTCCAAGCTGCTCACGTCGTTGTTCCCTACCTTGTCGCTTGTTATCCCCCCTCCCCCACCATGGGACTGTCAGCACTGATTTCCTCTGGAGCATCTCCGCTCCAGCCCTGCAGAAATTCCTCTGCACCCCTCCCAGAGCCCGAGTCTCCTCTCTTTAATCCGGAGTCTACAGGCTCCCCCCACACCCAGAGCTAGCTCGTGCTGCCCCGTTGTTGGGAGGGACGCGCTGTTGGGAGGCCACGGCCTGGGGCCTGCACCCAAGGGTGCTCTGTGCTCCCTGAAGACGCAGCCACGTTTATGGACTCCTGAGAACTTAAAAGTTCCTGCTCAGGCCTTTTATGGCACTTTAGAACCCCTCCTCCCATTCTACATTTCAGTAAATTTGTCTTTTTTTTTATTTCCTAATGAAAATAGGAGAGTATTGTCTCTAAATGAGTTATAGATGCCTGTGCTAAGTGTTCTGCTGTTTGTCAATATTTTGACACATGAAGGATTGGTTTTGAGAAAGAAAATCTAATTATAGGTTACCGTGAAGACTAGTTCTGTCACAACCCTCACTGATGTGGAGATGTTTGACGGCGTTGAGTGGGGTTCTTATGTGGGCTTCCTTGTTTGTGAGGTTTTTTTGTTTTTGTTTTTAGTTGCTGTTGGCCCAGTATTTTATTGTGGTATTATAATTCATGTTAGGCTGCTTGTGGGCGTCCTTTTTCCCCATTTCTTTTGTGTTTTCTCCCTTATTAGGTTAATGTTCTTTTTTTTTGAGTTTGGAGTCTTACTCTTAAATTCTACCTCTTGTTGGTGTCCTCATTTATACTCCAGCTCAGCATTCTTTTTACTTTATGTTTTCCAGCAATTTGGGTCCTTTACCCATTTTCTATATTTTGCATACTCCTTTGCATAACCTTGGTTTCACCATGTCCACTGAGGTTTCCCTCTCTTTTATCTGCCTGGTTCAGTCTTTTATCTTCCCTTGCTTTCTCCTTTCAGGCTTTGCTATCTTCCAATCTTTTAATTCCCTTAATACACTATAAATCTACACCTTCTCATTCCCATTTTCATCCATTGTGTAAATTTGTTTTTTCCTGCCATGGTTCCTGTATTATTTCTTCTTCTTCTTCTTCTTCTTTTTTTTTTCCATTCAGCAGTCACTTGTGGTCCTTTCAATGAAACCTCCCTGCTCTGGAAGTTTTTCTTGCTTTCTTTTCTTCATGTGAGGGTTTCTGGGGGGGGGGGGGTTGTTTGTTTGTTTGTGTTTTTTTTGTAGTTCCCACCTTCTCATCTTTAAGTGTTTGCTTTCAGTGTTTCTTCTAGTGTCCATTTAGTTTATTGTGTCTGTCCCCAGGTAGAAATCAACATCACTGAATCTAAAGGTGTGAGAGGTTAACTTCCCATACTACCTTTTATTCTCAAGGCTATTAAAAAAAAAGAAAAGAAAGGAAGAAAAACAAGAACAAGTTTTTAAACAGAGAGGTAAGGTTGATACCATGGAGGACTAGATGCATAGTGCTTGTTGGAAGGATAGGAAGTGAATGGTAGATTTTTTTCTGTGCAGTATGGAGATGGTCTGAGTGGAAAAGGAAAAGGAAAAAAAAAAGCCATTGGACTAGACACCATGGATTATGGTCATAGTATTAATCATTGATGGACAAAGCCATCTCTCAACAGCACAGTGATGCAAGTGACCATCAGAGGGACAGCCAGCAGAAGAGCTGATTGGTTCTTTGAGGAACTAATGGTTCCACTTTGAACCAATGAGCTCATATGCACGCCACAGCCATTTAAATACATGGGGTGGGGGTGGTGCTTTGCCTGTTGCACCCTCACTAAAGTGTATTTGCAGTGTCTTAGGCCACCTAGCAAACTGAAAATGGTCAAAACATCCACGGGATAAAGCAAGTCTAGTAGAAAAGAGGCACAAGGGACCATCCAGGGCAAATGCAGTGAAAAGATGAAAGGGTTGAAGTGAATCTTATTTCCCATTAAGAGCCACAAGTCATTAAAAAGAAAAATATGTGATTAAAAATAGAATTTTTCAATATTGTTATAAAATCATGTGAAGAGTATAATTTTCCTTAAAAGGGGCAATACACTATGGTTTTAAAAGCACATTTTTCCTCTGTGGGAGGCTTAGAGTTAAAATCCACGTAGATCTTGATATGCAGCCTAAATTTGGCATCAGGAAATGGGAAATTGCATCTTTAAGCAGAGTACAATCAAAAATGAATTACAATAAATCCTATATAATTGCATAGGTCATTCTCTTTAATGAGATTTTATTAACCTGACTGTCAAGCTTTTGAGTCAGGCAGATATTTTATCTTCTTCAACTGATAAAAGTGTCAGCTATAAACCACCATATAAATATTCATAAATCTACACATCTGTGGCAGCCTATCAGCATCATTCTTTTGGACATTAAAAGCATTCTAATTACTTTCTGTCTAGCAGAGCTGAAATGCTGCCTGTTATAGTATGTGCTTGGCAGGCATGATTGCTTTTGTTTGCCATCACAAATAGCAGCATCCTATTTTATATACCGATGGTCCAGAAAATATTCAGGGATTGACTGAGCAGGATGAATATTAGGAAGCACCATCTGGTTTTGATAGCACCGGGTATATTAACTCATCTGTTAATTTTTGACACATCATTGATTTATTTATTTAGAAAAATGCATCCTGTTTTGCTGTGTTGATGTTTGCCATTATGAAAAAAAATTGGATGGCATTTTTTTTAAAAGACATCATTCATTGATTTAAGACAAGGATGATGCTTCCAAAGCTTTCGTTTCTGCTATTTTCTATGCCATGATGTCCTCTCTTAAAAAGAAGTTAAATTAACGTTTTTATGGAAATCAACTATTAGAAATCCTTTTGGTAGATATGTGGATACATGGTAGTAGGTCACAAAAAAATTCTGCTTCTGCATTTTAATATTAATATATTTCACCCTTCGCTGGGCTAAAATCAAAAGGTTACCACTAATCTTGAGTACTGTGATCTCCTTCATAGAAACAGAATTCTCTTGGGAACCTGCCGTGATGGGCACATTCCATTCAAGGCTTTCCTTACAAAGAAGGACATTAGTAAAGTAGGGAGTCTGTGTTTGATTGCCTACTTCCCATCCCTCCTCTTAGTCATTTATCAGATTTAGGATGGATTAAACCACTTAAATGCAGAAGAATTTCAAGAAATGAATTTTTTAATTAAAAAAATAATAAGGGGTTTAGATTTTGGAATCAGACTAGGCACAATTTGCAACATGATATTATCTCCCAACAGGCTGCAAAATAAATTAGAAGTGGTCATTTTACAGTGCTTTGTGATTGTGATTTATTAACATTTCATGCTGCTTTATTTAGGGAAGTTTGGGATAAAGTAGACAATTTTAAAGCCTCCTTCTAAACTGTTGAATTTGTACTTCACTGCTATCCCTGTGTGTGGAGCATTCTGCGACTAGGGGGGAAAAAGTTAAAACACATGTTAACACTTAACTCAATTAAGAATCATGGATCAGTAGCCATTCAATTGTGTTCAAATGAAAACAAAACTTTTCTCCATTTCTTAGTGATAATGTGCTATGCCTAGTACTTGGATTTCTAATTATATTCTGTCTAGAAAGCTAAAATATTGCTGACTGCAATATGTATTAAGTGGAAAGAGTTGCTATTTTCCCTCACCAAGTGTAATGCAATATATTTCATCATGGCTTTCATGTATCAATGTTAAAATAGAAAATAGTATTCAAATATTTCAAGGTACTAAAGAGGGAAAAATTCAACTTTAAGGGTGTATGATTGCTATTTTTGTATATTTCAATTCTAAGAACAAATTCAGAATGAAGCATTTTAAGAACTGCAGGCAAGAACTATTTTATGATTGTAGCTATTCTCTGATATTCTGAGTGCACTTTAATAGATTATCTTCATAATGTAGTATATTACATAATGATTTTTTCTCAGCATGTTATGAGTTTATCCTTCAATTAAGAAAACAAATCACGCTTGTCCCTAAGTCAGATTTTTTTCCCCTTAAAATCTATGCTGTAATGTGATTCATCGATATGATTAAAACTACTGAGTGTTCTCTAGGACACTGAACAAATATAATCGAGCAGCTCTTTCTAGGCAGTTCTATTTTAGCCTTTCCTTGCGTATTTGTCCCTTTCATCAAGGTTATGTTAAAGGTGTATAGGCTGTAAATCAATTGGGACTATGCTGATTAAAATGCAAACAGTAAATACAACTTCAAGTCTAGAATGGGATTATAGGATTAAAATGAATGAAAACTGCTCTTGTGCTAGAATTGAACATTCCCAATCAATATCATCCTTTGATTTTACTAATAAAAGAATAAAAATTAGGAAGTGAAAAAATGAGAAAAAAACATCTTAAACCTCCCCACTTGTGTGGTTCAGCTGTTTATTTTCATGTTTTTTTTTTTGTTGTTGTTGTTGTTGTTTAGGTCATTGTAATGAAATGGCATCAAAGTATTTGTGTGACTCAGGACCAAAGTTTAAAGCAGGCCTTATATCATGTATTGAAAAATTAAAAATCTTGAATCGGATGTTAAGTAAAATACATTCTCTTCACCTGTCTTGACAAATACACCTTTATAATGACCAGGTTTGACTTTGGGATTTTTAGCCAACCATGACCACCTCTTCTGACTCCCAGCTTCATCTTGCACTCAGAAGTACATCATATACACACGTAGGTGCCCCAGTCCATGCTTCCAAGCTCTAGCTGCTATCCCTCTGTAGGTAGATGGCTGAGGGCACAGGCTCCCCAAGCAGTTAGAGTAGGGAATTCTTAATCTTGTACCTTACAACAGGGAGAAGACTGGTTGGAGGAGGAGGGTCAGGGCAGAGATTCATAGTACTGTTCCTAAGAGTAAGGAAGTGTTGTCCCAAGAAGTAAACAGCCCTGTGGGCTGCCAAAGGTGATCTTGCCACCCCCACCTCAGCCAAGTAAATCTGAAAATGCTATAAACTGAGGTCCTCTACATGTTTACAAGAGTCCTACCATGTATTTTATCAGTATTTCTTGAGACACTGAGTTGATCCTCCCATCCCAGTACAGCCTGTAATTGCTTCCTGAACAGAAAAGATCTGGGCTCTGGTTTCTGACTTGATATTTTTCTAAAGGATTCTGGAATGGTAGCATTGTGTAGATGTGGGGTACATGAGGAATGCTTCCTGTGTGCCAGTCAACCGTGTTGTGGGATTTTTATACACATTCTTATTACATAGTTAGAACCAGGTTACTTGGACTCCTCTGTCTCCCCAATACCATGGTTACTTCACAAAAGAATGCTAAGGAAAAAAACCCGGGAGGAGGCACTGCACAGGGGTCTCTTGAAATGCAATTTCATTGGTCACATATCCTGGGTTTTCTAGAGGTTTTCTTACTGCAACTCTTCTGTCTTGTTGCCTGTAGAAGCACACAAGTATCTCAATATTTTTAATTTTGAAGGTCCCCTATCCTGGGAAAGAAAAAGGAATAGTCACCATTCTCAGAAGCAGCAAGTGGCTGTTTTACAAACAAGTATTACTGGCAGCTAAATTCTCTAGTGCTTTCCTTGTTGCCATTTTTCTGGGTAAGGAGAAGCTGAAGCATCCTCATACCACTGTATAAACTCTGGAAAGTGTCCCTGTCTGTGTTTATAATCACTTGTCTAGGTAGTAATGGGAAGAGAACCTTTCCAGTGACATTTTCCTATAGGGTGAATACTCAAGAACTTTAGGCTGATGTTAAATAACACTATCATGATTTGGGGAGTTTTTTGTGTGTTTTGCAGGGAGTCGATTGGTTTCAGTTTACTTTTTGCTTTTCACTGCTTGACAGTTAATATGCTTTAGAATTCATGTATGTGGGCTACCTAGCACCCACGCCTTATGCCATTTGGGGAGATGTGACAATCAAATGAAAATGGCTCTGAGAAGAGGCACTCCTGATTTTCAGATATATGGATCTTGGTCAGCCTAAACATTGGCCTTGACAAGAAATCCAAATTAGCAGGTAAATTTAGAGAAGGAATACTAAATAGAGAAGTTGAATGACACATGCGGTATTGTTTTGTGCTCATTCTTTGCCTATAGACCCACTCTTTGTTTTATCTTAGATTTCTAGTGAGCTCTTCAAAAAGACTTATCTTTCTTCTCCAGTTTGCATCTGGGAGCTACATACTCTCGGCAGGGATTGTATCAGCTGATTAATAGCAAGGGCATAAGGGCACTCCAGAAATAGAAGTAATGATTGCTCTAAGCCCTCCTATCAATGAGGAATTGAGTCTGCAGTGGCCAGCTCCATTCATTAGAGTAAGGATATTAATGAAGCTGAAGGTGTGAGTGCAGACCTGTGCAGGCCAGTTAATGTCAGAGAGAGAGAAATCTCTGTACGGTGCCCAGAATCATAGGCCAGCCATTGCTTAGAGTAAGAGACTGGAGGTGACTCATTAGGAACCTGCCAATCATAGAACAACAGGAATTTATCCTGTTAACAGTGGATTCACTGTGTCATCTGGTTTATGGCAGAGTAAAAATACTTATTTTAATGTGTTTAAGTATTAAAATTGAGGACTTTTGTTTATTTGTCGTCTTAAGCTGTTGGTCACTGACATGTCTTTTTATTTCATTTCAGAGAGTCGTATGATTTTGGATGCCTTTGCCCAGCAGTGCAGTCGAGTTCTTAGCCTCTTAAATTGTGGAGGAAAACTTCTGGACTCAAACCATTCTCAATCTATGATTTCTTGCGTAAAGCAGGAAGGCTCTAGTTATAATGAAAGACAGGAACAGTGTCACATTGGGAAAGGGGTCCACAGTCAGACTTCAGACAATGTAGACATAGAGATGCAATATATGCAAAGGAAACAACAAACTTCTGCTTTTTTAAGAGTTTTCACTGACTCCCTCCAAAATTACCTGCTCTCGGGGAGCTTTCCAACTCCAAACACCTCAACGATTAGTGAGTATGGCCACCTGGCCGATGTGGATCCTCTCTCCACCTCTCCCGTGCATACACTAGGTGGCTGGACCTCCCCAGCAACCTCTGAGTCCCATGGTCACCCATCGTCTTCTACACTCCCGGAGGAGGAAGAGGAGGAGGAAGAAGAAGGCTACTGTCCCCGATGCCAAGAGCTAGAGCAGGAGGTTATTTCACTGCAACAAGAAAATGAAGAGCTCAGAAGGAAATTAGAAAGCATCCCAGGTATGCTTCCATATTACTTGCAGGACAACTGCAAATCTTACTCCTTTCCGTTATTTCCACTCTCTGTATGCATAATGTGTATGTGTGTAATTTTTTTAATTTAAAATTTTTTTTTGGCCAGCAACAGAAGAATTGGGAAAATAGGCATGATAAGGAGGTCTTTAGCCTACCCAGTGCCAAAGAAGTTTGGGGATGAGTCACTAGACTATTTTGTCTTTGTTTCAGCTACAGTGTTCTTGGGTATAGACTTAAAGACCATATTCCTCATGAAAGGCATCTTTATCAGTCTGAAAATAATTCCTGGATTGATTCCTTGACATTGAAGTAGGTCAAGTGCTGTGAGCCTGAGTTCCTTTCAAAAAAGTGGTCCTGTTGCTGTGGTTTTAAAGGCTTTGCCATTGCTAGAAATTACAGTGAAAATATCCGTTCAGAGGTGGACTGGAGTAGTACTGAACAAATCTCTTCTGTTCCATTAATTTCCCTTGCTTTTCTTATTAAGTTTCAGCAGGCATAGTCTCTTTTAGAATACAGACTGCCCCTTAAAGTTAATAAGAAACAGTAAACTAATAGGCCAAAGATAGAGCAGTAATTAAGCTGGCCCTAAACTATTTGTGTCCTGGTTAAACACTAGGCATCTACTGTCTTTTTTTAAAAAAAAGACTAAATTTTCAGAGTAGTAGAATCGTCTATATGCAGAGGCCTTTTCCAAGTTGCTAAGTTGTTTTCAATGTTTGGAAAAGCACTGATTTTACATTGATCTTTGAATTCTACTGTGTGTCTGGGACTTAGAAAAGACATTAAGATCATCAATAGCACAGTCTCTTCAAACTTTTAATCATGCAGCCCATGGATGGTAAATTTTGGAGTATGTACTTAACCAATCTACGCAGTCTGGCTAATTACATACATGAACTACTATACTATTATGTTATGGTCAAATAAAGCATACGTAATAAATTTTTAAAATTTGAAGGCTGACACATGCATGTAAACATAAGTTATGTTTTTCACTTAACTCGGTATTTTTGTATCACCTATTTGGTATGTGATCCTGAAATAAAGACATTAATAAAGTTCACACTTGTTTATTAGAACATCTAGAAGGCAAAAACAGAAATGAATGTTTAGAACTGCTAAATTAGAAATTCATCTTTCCACTCTTTTCATTTAAAAGAATTTCCCAAATAGAGCTGAGATTTTGTTCAGAACATTTTGGAGTTAGATTAAGTGAAGCAGTCTTGGGGAGGAGAAGCTCTAGTGAAGTTAATTCATTTTCTTTTTGCATTTGAGCTGTGGATTAGATGCAGAGAGGTGCCATTTTCCCAAGCCAGGAGGGTACTGGCTGCAGGAGATCGCTGGGTAGAACCAGAAGCAGAGCACTGCTCATTTCCCCAAATCAGGGAGATAGGGTTGCAGCTAACACACTGGGGATTCTACAACTCTAAGCCCTGGGAATTGTGGTCCACTCACTAAGGGTTTACCTCAGAGGATGTTTTCACATCTACTCCCACTCCTCTTTCACTCGAGGAGAAAAATAGCATCCTGGGGATCATCCTGCTATAGAAACTGACCAGCCATTCAGAACCACAAGCAATGGAGCCCAGCTTCTGAAGAACTCTTCTGTCTATTGGCTCTGCATTTTTAGGGGGAAAAAAATCTTTTATTTTTAGGGACCCATTTGAAGAAAAGTGCAGTAAGAGGCTGGTTTTGCACATGCTAAGAGTGTTTTGTCAAGCAGTAACACCCCTGTATAACTTGGAGGGGTTTTCCCTAGGCAGTGTCCCTGCTTCTCAGTGGACATAGTAGGCCCCTATTGTCCTAGAGGCCAGTACGTTTCCATGGATGGACTTGTAACTTTCCTCAAGAATCTACCTATAGGGCAATCAACTTTTATATAGCCAGACTGGATGGATGTATATAAAAGAAGGCAGCACTCAGTGATTAGCAGAGGGAATCGGTTGGGAGTGAAGTGAGAGCACATGCTGCAGGTAGAGTCCAGGGAGCTTCCTTGATCTCATCTCTGCTTCTCCAGAGGAGTGCTGTTGAGCAACTACAATAGCCCTCCAAAAGAAAGAGTTCCCTGTCTCCCCACCTCTCACCTCCCGAAATAATAAAGCCTTCATACCTGGAGCAGTTCTTGAAGTAAATTAAGAGAAATGAGCTTATCATCTAAGAAATTATTTCACTTAAGTAGCTATAAAATGGGAAAAGGAAGGTCTTGAGACCTTACCAAAAACAGGCTGGCGAGAGGTGTATTTTTGGCACTACCCAAGAGGCCAGTGTTAAGTATTATTTGTGAATTTTCAGTATAGTCTTACTGATGATCAGTTCCATGAAAACCAGAGGCTTCTAGGAGGTGCTGTCTTAGTTTTCAGAGTTAGTTTCACTCTGTTACTCCAAGGAAAAGGCAGTGGTGCTTTTCCCTTATATTAATTAATTAGATCACCATGATAGAAATTACAAAGTCAGTTAAAACGTGAAATTTTTTGAAAATAGGTTGAAAGAAAAACGTCAGTAATCCCAACTACCCAGAAGGATGAGGCAGGAAAGTTTGAGGCCAGACTGGGCAACTTAGTAAATCCCTGACCGAAAGTCAAGTAGAAAGAGCTGGGTTGTAGCTAGAGGTAGAGTTGTGCCTAGAATGTGCAAGGCTCTGGGTTAATTTCCTAGTACTGCAAAAAAAGAAGCTTTAAAAGGAAAAAGTATTTGGATCAGAATATGAAGTGCTAAGAGATTTTTTTAGAAGAAAATGATGGGTGTAATTTTTCAATGGATAGAGTTTCAGGTTAGGGTAGCCTAAAGATGTTACGAGTTCATATAAAGGAGAATGGCTATAAAATACTATATTTCATCAATCTAAGACACCACTGAGTATAAGACACCAGTGTTTATGTTCTACTAAGAAAGAAGGAAAACACTGCAAATCATAATTGTACATTATAATAATTTAAGATAAATTTATTTATTTATAAAATTTATTGTATATATTTAAGCTATATCACATGAGGTTATGGAATTTATGTAGATAATTAAAACCTTACTATAGTGAAGTTAATATCCACCATCTCACACAGTTAACCATTTTTTTTGTTTTTATGGCAAAAACAATAAAGATCTTCTCATTTAGCTTGAATCCAAAATACAGTATAATTTTAATTACTTTCACCCTCATATTGTACATTAAATCTCTAGACTTGTTCATCCTATGTATCTGCTACTTTGTAACATTTGATCTATTTCTCCCCCCTCCCCAGATCCCCAGTAACTACTTTCCTCTCTATCAGTACATCTGTGTGGTTTTTTATATTCTATATACGAAATCACAGAACGTTTTTCTCTGCCTGGCTTCTTTCACTTAGCATAATGTCTTCCAGGCTCATCCATATTGTAGAAAACGGCAAGACCTCATTCTCTTTTAGGGCTGAACAGTATTTCATTTTGTATATATGCCACCATTTCTCTACCCATTGTCTGCTGCAGAAATGTGTTGTTCCTCTGTCTTGGCTACTATAAATGATGCTGCAGTGAACACAGAGAGTGCAGATGCTTTTATGATGTGGTAGTTTCATTGACTTTGGATATGCCTAGAAGAGGAATTGTTGGGAAATATGATAGTTCTGTTTAATTTCTTTGGAAACCTCCCTAGTGTTTTCCATAATGTCTGACTAGTCTATAGTCCCACCAAGAGTATATGAGGGTTCCCTTTTCTCCACATCCTTGTTAACATGTTATCTTTGACTTTATGATAATAGTCATTTTGATCAGTTTGAAGTGGCATGTCATAGTAGTTTTGATTTTCATTTCCCTGATGATTAGTGGTGTTGGGCACCTTTTTATTTAGCTGTTGGCCATGTTTATGTATTTGTAGAAATATGTATTCAAGTCTTGTCCATTTTTTAAATCGGGTTATTTGATTTTTCTACTATTAAGTTGTATGGAATCTTCATAAATTTGGGGTACTAAACTTTGATCATATACATGGTTTACAAATATTTTTCCTAGTCTGTAGGCTTGTGTTTCATTTTGTTGGTTGTTTTCTTTGCTGTGCTGAAGCTTTTTAGTTTGAGATCCTGTCTGTTTAATTTTGGTTTTGTGGCTGGGCTTTCAGTGTGATATCCAAAAAGTCAGTGTCAAGGCCAGTGTCCAGGAGCTTTTCCTGTGTGTTCTTTTCTAGGAGTTTTATAGCTTCTAGTCTGATATTTAGGTCTTTTATGTGTTTTTAGTTGATTTTTACATATGGTATAAGATATGGGTCTAATATCACTCTTTGCATGTGACAGTTGTTTTTCCAGCACCCTTTATTAAAGAATGTTGTTGTTTTTTACATAAGAACTTCTTTTTTTTTTTAGTTGTAGATGGACACAATATTTTTATTTTACTTATTTTATTAATGTGGTGCTGAGGATCGAACCCAGTGCCTCACGCATGCAAGGCAAGTGCTCAACCACTGAGCTACAACCACAGTCCTACTTTGTTCAAAAAAAAAAAAAAAATGCTTATAATCATTTCAGTTTATTCTCATAACTCCATGAGTCTATAGCAAATATTATCATCGCCATTCTGCAGACAACGTTGTTGAGACCCAGACAGATGAGATCAGTTGCAGACCTAGGATTATTATCCAAGGTTTCTGACTCCATATCTTCCATTGTATGGGCCCTTGTGTTCTATAAAAGTTTGTGAACAGTGAATTAGCATTATTCCTAGGGGAAGTACAAAGTATGTTACAGAGAGCCCCTGCTCACAGTGTTTTCCACTAATCATTACATACCTTGTTTATGGGTGTGTGTGTTCAAAGAGACCTTATTTGCTGTTTGTATTTGGTTGGTTGACATTGAACTCCACTGGCCTGTAGAATCCCACACCACTATAACCCAGGCCTGAGTGCAGCTTGTCCAACACACCTGCCTCCATAAGGCACTAGACACCTGCTTGTGCTTAGGAACACTTGACACCACTTGAGAACTAAGTTAAAGGCCACTTAGGCAGTAAAATCACTA